ATTCCATTTGTTTTCCTTTGTGGCATGAAATCAGATCTGGAGCAAAATTCATTCGCAGATGCTCAACGATTAAACAAAAAAAAAAACAATTTTATTTATGTAATGAGAATCGATGATACATAAAACATCATGATAGAGACATACTATGATGCTATTCTCTTAAATCAAAGTATTTAAGTAGTCCGTATTTTTTTCTAAGAGAATATTATCTGAAATAGAACTAAAAAGATTTTAAAATTCCAAAATAGGACTGCTGTGTTTTTATTCCTAAAATAGGACTAATTACTGCCATGTTTTGGCAGTACCAGACTTCAAACATGACAGTATTTTCCAAACTTGGCAGTAATTACTCCTATTTTGGGAATAAAAAACATGATAGTCCTATTTTGTAATTACTTCTATTGCCCAATGCATTGCTCATGTCTTGTGAACCGATGCCCTTAACCATTTCAAATGTTGCAGCTATCTAACAATATCTAACAATTTCGATGAAATGCATCCATGTTTATACAAAATAACAATAATATAGTTAGCGTTAACAACAGTTAATAGAAATGCATGTTTACCAGATAACTTCTCTCGTCATGCACTTTTTGTTGGCTTTGTTCAAACTTGAATCCTCACCATGTGACTGATTCAAAGACATGGTGAAGTGTATATATAGGAGATGTTGGGTAGAAGCTTACCCATCAAAACCGGATTTAATGTCACTAAATAATGCTCAATGGAAACTTCAAACGACATGAGGAAAATTACACTCATCCTTAACAGCGTGATTCTTAGAGAAGCTAAAAAGCCAATCAATTGCTACAATTTTATTTAGTTGTCCAACCACATCGTATATCTCGGCAGTATTAATACTCCAAATGAAATTAATTCTTCTTGCACGGTATACGAAGTAGCTTTTGAATATTGTAATTAAAGGATACACAATTACTCTCAAACGGACAGTGCAGTTCCCGCCCAAAAGGGCGCCTAAAGCTTTGCTGCACTATTCCGTTTTAATATATAATATAGATTCACAGTGTGATAAATTCTTGAAAATCATATACTACCTCCGTCCCACTAAGTTTAGGATAATTCGGTTTACAATGCTTGACCGACGATAAAGCAAACAGATCCCTGTTCGCACTCAAATTATTTGTAGAAAAAAGAAATTATATATTCAGAAACTAAATTAGAAGATTTACAAAGTCGCAAAAACCAGAATCAAATTTGATAAAAATTTGATATATAAAGTAAGAGATTAAGAGTGATTTGTGTTAACCAAGTGAATAGTGTCTCGGACAATTTTAGCGGGACAGAGGGAGTACTACGTACATGATATATTAGCCTGTTTTCAAGTCATATTTGAGAATTGAGATGAGATCAAACCAAAATGTATCATGCTAAGCCAAAATATACTAGGCTTGGCCCGGGCCGGTCGGACCAGCCCGCCACTGTGTGGGACCGGTCGGTCTACCACTGTGTGGGACCGGACCGGTTTGCCACTGTGCGGGACCGGGCCGGGACGGTGAACCGGTTCTGGGACTAGGCCCGGCCCGGGGGGTTATGGGGGCATTTCCGGGTTGGATAATTGGGGACCGGTCCGATACTGGTAGACTCCTGAGCCGGTCCCGGGCCTTACCCAAAATGTTCTAAGCTCGTCCGGGTTCGATCCGAAATGGAACCGGGCCCAATCCATCCCTTTTATTAGATGAATTGTAAATTTATAATAAAAACAATAGTCACTTACAAGTTACAGCAGACAAAGAAACCCCCATATCAGATCTATCTAACTTAATCCTTTCAAGCTAAAATTAATCCCAAACATCCATCAACCCCAAAACATAAGCAACAAAACACTCACATCCTAACAGTATGAATGGAGGCTCAAAAATCAATCATATCAATTGGGTATAACTTATAAAAGATCATATATGTTTGGACTTTTATCTGCAGAACAATATTATGAACAATAGAAGGGCAACCTTCAAAATTTCTGGAATTTCTAGACTTCCAAATGGTGAAATCGCAGCAACAAAAAGCCACTCTTATGGCCTTACTCCTCAATCTTGCTCCTCTATACTCCTTTTGCGGCATTTAATGACACTACTCATTGTCGAGAGATTGTTTCTCACTCCCAGCCAATCACATACTCCCTTCCAGATCTGTTTTGTAATCGGGCACCTGAAAAATAGATGCTCTACATATTCTGGTGCAGCAAGACAAAAACAACATGTATCATCGATTCCAAGGAACCAAAGAGAACTAGCTGTTGCGAGCTTATTCTTAAAACACATCCAGACTGTAAAAGAAAAGTTAGGGGGGATATAAGATTTCCAAATGAAGGTCATCCACGGCATACTGACCCCTTTCACTCTCAGAATATCGTAGACTCTTGATGGCACAAGATCACATGAGATACAACAAGATTGTAGTTTCCTCATAGCCGCTTGTTTTCCACCCAGTACGCTAGCAAGTTTATCTCGAATGCTTTCCAGCTTCTTCAAGAGGGGAGAGACCCAGTTATTTGGTTGCCATTCCCAGAATGATGAAACACCTTTCCGATAATAAGTATGAAACCATTTGACCCATAATGAATCTTTTTTAGCTTGGATATCCCACAAAGTTTTAGATAGCAAAGCCCAGTTCCACCATTTAGCCTCCTTCAACCCCAAACCCCCTTCTTTTGGTTTACGAATGTCTACCCAGGCCATTTTTGCCCTCTTCCCATCCCACAAGAACTATCTACATATGGAAGTGATCCTTTCTAACACAGCAGCTGGCACCGGGAAAGACTTTAACTAGTAGGATTGAACACCTTGCACTACAGCCCTGATAAGCTCCACCCTTGCTGCATAAGACATGGTCTTAGTTCTCCATTTTGAGATGTATAGTTCAATCTTGCTAATCAATGGTTGAAACTGGGATATGGAAACTCTGATGGGAGCCAGAGGTATGCCCAAGTATCTCACTGGAAAAATCCCTTCTTGAAAACCGGTATCTGCTAAAATGTCATCCTTTGCAATCCTCTCTAATCCTGCAATAAAGACATTAGATTTCTCTATGCTTACTGTCAACCCGAAGACTTCTCTAAATTCATCGAGACATCGTATAAGACTCCCAACTGAAGCAGCATCCCCTCTAGCATAAAGCATCAGATCATCCGCAAATATTAAGTGAGTCACTTTCAGTTTTCTACATTTTGGGTGATAGTTATAACCTGGTTTTTCAGTTTCATTCGTAATAAGTCTAGAGAGATATTCCATACACAACAAGAAAAGCGATGGAGGCATAGGATCACCTTGCCTAAGCCCTCTTGCACCTTTGAAAAACCCATCACCTTCCCATTTACAGCCACAGAAAAAGAAGTAGGTGTGACACATTCCATGATCCAATTGATAAAACCGCTTAGAATACCCAGAGAGACAAGGACTGCTTTTAGAAATCCCCACTCTATTGTGTCATAAGCCTTCCTCAGATCCGCCTTTATAAGACACCTAGGCGAAACCCTTTTCTAGCATAACCTCTCACCAATTCTTGGGCTAGAAAAATGTTATCAGATATTCCCCTTCCTTCCACAAAAGCAGATTGTGCTGGATCAACAAGTTCTGGTAATAAAGCATTAAGCCTCTCTGCTATAATCTTGGAGATAGTCTTATAAGTAACATTAGTCAGGGAGATAGCCCTAAAATTTCCAACTGAGGGATTGGAAGAAGTTTTAGGGATTAGTGCAATAATTGTGTGGTTGATCTGCTTTAACAGTTTTCCACTGATAAAGAATTCCCTAACAGCACTTGTAAAATCCTCCCCTATCTCACTCCAATTTTTCTTAAAGAAGACTGAAGAAAACCCATCTGGGTGTGGGGCCTTGTCATCCCCAATATCAAACAAAGCGGTTTTGATTTCTTGATCTGAGACAGGTGCAAGCAATCCCTCTCATGCTAGGTGTCACAATCTTTCTCAAGCTCATCAAGTTTTCTCTAATGTCCTTACACCCCGTAGCATCCCCAAATAGCTTTCTGTAATATTCCTCAAAAACTTGGGCAACTTTTTTCAAGGAGTTAGTCAAGCTGCCATCCTCTTTCACTAGATATGATATAATATTTCTAGCTGAATTCTTTTTGCAATGCTATGGAAATACCGTGTACTCCTATCAGCGTCCAATATATGAATAGTTTTAGACTTTTAGCCTTTTGTTGAAAAAAAGATTTTTCGGCCTCCAATAAGAAAGTAGCATTCCTCCTTTTCAAATTAACATTAGCTAGCAACTCCTCATTCAATGGATCCCCAAGAAGTAGTTGTTGAGCCTCTTCAAAGTCCTCTTTAGCTTTTAATTCATAATAGGGAAACAAACTAGGCTAAACTTAAAACTGGACTGTTTCTTTAACAACAAAAAAACCAAAGTCTAATCAAATTAGAGCACATTGAACCAGATTACACTTGCAAAATCCAATCCTATAGGACAGGGCTTGATATTAAAAAAAAAAATCCTGAAAAAGCATTAATTATGATATATAACTTAGAACTCCTAATTCATACTAGGGAAACAAACTAGACTAAACTTAAAACTAAAGACTGTTTCTTCAACAACAACAAAAAAACCAAAGTCTATTCAAATTAGAGCACATTGAACCAAATTACACTTAACAAAATCCAATCCTATAGGACAGGGCTTGATATAAAAAAAATCCTGAACAAGCATTAATTATGATATACGTAGTATATCATAATTTGTAAAACTAGACGGTTATTTTCATCTTTAATCGTAAAACATATGCGATAAGCTGTAAATTTGTAAACTACTAAACGTCTTCTAATATTCAAGAGTTAAATTGCTTGCACGTTGCGTTCAAACACTCGCTAACTCGCTTGACCCCAACTCTAAAGTATTTAGAAAAACTAACTGAATATAATGAGATATCTTTATTATTTATTTATTTGGCCGGTTAATATATTATCCATTAGTAGAACTGAAAGTAGTGGTAGGCATTTTAGAAAGATGGTTAATACCGAGTATATTTATGTATGTTGCCAGTTAATATATTATCAATTCGCGAATGTACCGTTGGTTATGTACTTCAAATTATACGAGTACCGTAGTAAATTAGTAACAAACATAAAGTTGTCATACTAGCTCAGAATGACTATTCTTGGGAAAAGTACACATCAACACGAAAGACCCAACAATCCTGGCGGCTAGCGCTGAAGATGTTATCTTTTTCTGCTTTATAAGACAGCAAGACAGCAAAATGTGTATCCTGACCAAAAAAACTAAAACACAAGATATGAATGCAGGGAAATCTTGATATTTACATTAACTATTTATCTCATATTGCTCAATGCTTAACGAAACAAGATATGTATTCCCAAAATAACAATGGAATTTGTGTATTCACCATTTATCCTCATTATTTTAACATGGAATAAATATTTCATTTGTTCCAACAATCCCCCGAAAAGGCCAGAAAAATGTCTACTCTTCCAAGCGGCAGAGAATCGAATCGGCAAAACTCTGTTGCCTGCAAAGAAAAGAGAGTGAACTCATTAAATACTGATTGTTTCTCTTCAGTTTCTCTTTTTGCCTCTGATATAATGGATCGATTCATGTTAGCCGACCCCAAAATCTTTTGGGAATAAGGTTTGGAAGTTGTTTCTCTTCAGTTTATTGTTCATTCGATTCGAGTGAGACGTATCTCTCATTCATGAGATAAACTTAGCACTTCATAAGACATCACTATCCCTCACTATTTAAGCCCACGTTTAACAAAACACTACACGTAAAATACGTGGCAAACTTAGATATAAGCAACTAGGCCGCTTGAACAGAAATAGAAATAGTCAGCGCAAGGCAACCTAATACACCAAAGGAAAAAGGATTTAATATACTAAGAACTATAAGCGAGTACACATATGTACACCACAGCTTTTTTGGACCAATTAAACAGAAAAATTGTAATGTTAAAATAATTATACCCTTGAAATTGTAATGTTTCAATTGCTGTGTTTAATTGTTTCAAAAGAAAATTGAAGGAATATTTGTTCTGTGACATGTATTCTATGGTCATAAATTTTCCTTCCCCCAATGCCTAGGTGAAGGTTATAAAACAAGTATACAGCTAATTTTAAATTAAAATACATGAAAAGTCACTACCCCATAACACATAAAGGCATAAAGCATTAAAAGACTTACTTCCGCTCTCGGTGCTTTGGGTTGGGGCGAGAATATTTTAAATATCCATCCCAAGGAACCTTCTTAACACCTGCTCTAATAGATATGATGTCCCTCACCCTAAAAAAGAGATCATATCCATAAGAAAATCAAGGGTGTAATACACTAAACTTCAATCGCTACTGGAAAGAATGGAGTAGGCTGGTAACAAATGTTCACCTCTCTGCGAACTCAATTGGTGTCTCGCCGGGCTTTAGATTTTGAGGCTCCAAGTACCAAACATCGCATACAACTGCCCATGAGGTCATCAATTGCAGCAGGTGTGTAGTGAAAGATTGCCTGTGAACAATATCAAAACTCAAAAGCAAGCATGAGTTTTTTCACAGTTGAAGAAAGTTAGAAATACCAGTAAAGGTTTTTAAATGTGTGCCAAAGAGAAAATGATGAAAACCAACTAATGTGCTTCATAACTTCATTATATGAATAACGTAAGATCAAAATCAATATATTTTCGCTAAAAATATGCATTTGTCATCATTTAACTATAGTTAAGAAAATATATACATTAACAAACTCATTAGTTGCTTCTTTTGTCGTGCCTCATGGGAAAAAATTAGAAAGTTTATTTTCAGCAAGCGGGTTTCTAATGTGTGCCCATTGACACATGATAAATATTTTCCCAAATAGTGAAATCTTGCCTATTCAAGTGGGACAGAAGCAGTAGCATGTAAAAGTGAAAGTGAATTCATAAGAAATAGAAGGAACAGACTGGGCAAGCACCATTAAGATCTTACTTTTTACTATTCCAGAAGGCATCAACAAAGATTTTGTTGTACTTTATTGCGACCGGGCAAACTGTGCAGCCTAGCTCAAATGCACCCTATTAACTATCATAAGATAAGCAAATGCTACACTAAAATTGAGAGATTATAAATATCAGCAGAAAAGAGCAATGCCTTCTTGAACATGACAGTGTACTGGTTATTCACACAAGTTCCTTCTGGGAATATAAGAAGGGGATTATTATCAGCCCCTTCAACGTGTTCCCTAAGCCTGAAATAGATATGATAATAAGGTACTCAAGGTCAATATATTATCCCACCTATACACATTTTCAAGAAATAAGCTACTCGAGGTCAAGATATTATCACATACTTCCTAGCAACAATTTCACGATCTTTAGCCTCTGAACGATTGAACCAAATACATCCTACACCTTCTAAAATTGTGCTCTGCAAAAATCCTGCAAAAATGAGGGCATCTTGTTTACTGTAAATCCTCAGTGACAGCCACGCAAATAAACATTAAGGATGGCATATTACACAAAATTCTCCTTTGTTTTTCCTTTTGTTTTGTTAATAACTTCAAGGAAATGCAAACATTGATTATAGTGATAGACTCAATGTGATATGTGATCGTGGCAGCAAATCAGCACACAAAGAAGGTCAAGAAATAATGAAGGATGTCTGATTACTTAGGAAGTTAGAAGTAATCGACTAACCATTTACCAGTGAGTCAGGTGATGCACTAGTTTAGGCCTTCACTTACGTAGTAGTACTACTGTAGTAGCATTACATTGGACTTCGGATATACTCCACATAATACTAAAAGTGAGATATTCATCTCAAGGATTTTTATGGCCTCTAACAAACCCAAATAACACCTTCATTTCAGTTTCCATCTTCTTCACAATTAATACCTTGAGGTTTCCCGGATCATAAAATAAGTCATAAGGATCCCTATATTTACATAATCGAATTCATCCTTATATATGCATATGCATATTCATATACATGTAAAGTGACAATGCTTGTTTGGCCATAAAGTCTCTAAAGACATTAAACGAGTCAGGTAATGAGAAAAGACTAAAAAGTAAAAATAAAAATATAAATGAAGTGCATATTTGCGTATAAGCATCAGGTATTAATTATATAATTGTGTGTCAATGACTGCAGGTAAAAGAGAGCAAGTGGCAGCTCTTGGAAGTAAAAATTCCTGAATCAGGGGGCCATTGAGGGAATATTTCACATTTTTAGAATGAAGGGAAGTAAAGTCTTACCAACCCATCCAGGATGTTTCTGCATGATGACAGCAAAGGCAGTCATCTGTTCTAAAATGATGAAATCAATCATAGATGTGTGATTTGCGACAAAAACCTGTTTTGGAAACACTCTAGGAATCTCAGGTTCTGGTTTTGCATTTGCATATTAGAAAGTTACATGAGGCATATATCAAAAAGCAAGGTTAACCTGTTTAGGACGAATGCTAGGCCGTGGACCATGGTATTTGACAACACCAGTCCATGAAGCTACAAAAAAGCTGCATATCAACTCTACCAGAACTCGCTGAAAAGCAAATAAACATACCGATATGGTATTAAGTCAGTAAGATATAAGCTGAATATAAGAGGCCAGAGAGTTAAGATAAAGACCATTCACATGACACAATTATTTTTTGAGAGAAACATTTCCCCAATAATTTAGCTGTTTAGCAAACGAAGTAGACGATTTAGAAGAATTAACTAAGGCTACAGACAATGATAATGCTTGAGCAAAAAATGATATTAAAAAAAGTGCAGCAGTCATGCGTGCATACCTCCAATTTTTTCTGTAGCCTATCATGGCCCTTGAGGAGAAAATGCACAGGAACATAGCATGACACGAATATTATCCATCCTATTGTCAAAACAATTGCCCTGTATTACAGCTAAAACATATCACACTGCAGGAATCTTGAAATACAGAGATGAATAATTTTACACTGGCATTCAAAATTCAGGCCCCCAAGTGCTAAAAGATTAAATGGTTAAACCAATATATGGATAAACAGTTCAAATGCATATTAATTAATAAACCTGCTTTGAAAATGATAGGCATTAGGAAATATAAGATTAGGCTAGTGGTACGCATGACAATACAAAGATCATTTTTTGGCAGTATTCAGTTGAGCATATATCATTCTAATTTGAGTAATGACATACAGAGTATGTAGGAAGAGCCTCAGTAATATTGCCCACACCATAAGACATTGACTATTAAGGAATGGCTTACTGAAAAAATAAAACAATTCACTGAATCTGAAATGGAGGAAAGAAAAAAGCTAACCTTAATGGGAAAAGAAGTCCATATCTGACTACGACACCCAAACACCACAGAGGAAATAAATAAATATTCCAGTTCCAAGGTTCGGGGGGATTAGACTTGAAGCATCTGGTAAAAGAATCCTGCAGATTGAATCCAAACACTAACCGCAAAGCAACAAAACTTATAAAAAGAGAAGAAAGGTAAACGATTAGGAAAAAATATAAAATAGGGATAAGGAACGGATTGATAAAAATCAGGAAAAAAACCGATACGGCGAATTAAAGCTTAAAGCCAAAACTAGGAAGAGAGGGGTAGTCACATCAACAATAGCACCAGCGGCCTCAGTCAGAGTAGGCGAAATGTCCAGTAAATCTCGACTGAAAGATGTTCATCAAGAAGAAAGTTAGGAAATTGGTAAACAGCCAGTATCTACTCGTGGAAAGGGGAGAGACGTACAGGCAAAGCTTGCCGAGAGGCTCATGAATAGATCCAGTGGGGAGATAGTCTTCCAGATTGGGTCGATCCAACTCCAATTCCGACCTCGACGTCGCCAGAACCGCACTCATGCTATACTCGTTCCCAAACCTTGTTGCGATTTAGTATAGAGTGACAAGTATTCTTCCACCCCCAAACACTTGGATTCGGATATGCAGAGCTCCTTCAGTCAGAGGCTACTTCAATCACCTCCCACAGGCGGCGTTGGAGTTATCCTGAACCCCTAGTCCCTCGAAAATGAAAGATCAACGAGTATGCTCCCCTCTATGAATCTGGGCAAAGAAAGGTAGAATGGTAGATGACATTGATGCACAGAAAAATGCTTTCATTTTTTAATTAATTAATTAATTAAAATGAAATAAATATGGAGGAAATTAGGAAATCTAAAAAAGTGCGTAGTAATGTCGTAAATGACTGAGGTGCTGTTCTGTTCGTCTTATTCTTATTACTTATTGCTTATTCTTATTTTATTCAGATCAGATCAGATCAGATCAGAAAAATTCAGATCAGATCAGATCAGATCAGAAAAATTCAGATCAGATCAGATCAGATCAGAAAAATTCAGATCAGATCAGATCAGATCAGAAAGATTCAGATCAGATCAGAAAGATTCAGATCAGATCAGACCAGATCAGAAACATTCAGATCAGATCAGAAACATTCAGATCAGATCAGATCAGAAAAGTTCAAACATGATTTATCATTTTTATTATTATATTAAATATTAATTATTATTATTAATATTGTTATTACTATTATGATTATTATTATATAATTATTATTAATAATATTAATAATAATATGATAAAAAAGAAATTAATAATAGTTATAATATTTTAATATAATAATAGTAATATAAATGCAATTGTTAAGAAGACTATTATTATTATTACAATATTATAATAATAATATGATTAATATTATTATAATATTATATTATAATTATATGTAATTATAATTATAATTATAATTCTTATAATTATAAGTATAATTCTTATAATTATAAGTATAATCAATTGTAATTATTATAATTATATCTATAATTAATTATAAATATAATTTTAATTAATTATAATTATAATAATTATAATTATAATTACAATCATAATTATAATTATGATTATAATTATAATTACAATATAATATTATAATAATATAATACTAATTATAATAATAATCATATTATTATTATATTATTGTAATAATAATATTATTATATTATTGTAATAATAATATTAATATAATAATATCGTTATAATAATATTAATTGTATTTATATTACTATTATTAAATTATAATATTATAATTAATGTTAATATGATTATAATTATTATTAATTATAATTATAATAATTATAACTATACTTCTAATTATATTATTATAATAATTTATGATTATAATTATTATTTTTATTATAATTATTAATATTAATATTATTATTATTACTATTGTAATTATTTTACGGAGTAATAATAATAATATTGATAACTATAGTTACAATTATAGAGATAAATATTGTAATTATAATTACAATTATAATTATAATTTTATTTAAATTATATTTGTAATTGAAATTATAATAATTATAATTATAATTATAATTATAATTATAATTATAATTATAATTATAATTATAATTATAATTATAATTATAATTATAACTATAATTATAATTATAATTATAACTATAATTATAATTATAATTATAATTATAACTATAACTATAATTATAATTATAACTATAACTATAATTATAATTATAATTATAATCATAGAAATATTCGAATCAGATCAGATCAGAAAGATTCAGATCAGATCAGAAGGATTCAGATCAGATCAGAAACATTCAGATCAGATCAGACCAGATCAGAAACATTCAGATCAGATCAGAAAGATTCAGATCAGATCAGATCAGATCAGAAAGATTCAGATCAGATCAGATCAGATCAGACAGATTCAGATCAGATCAGATCAGATCAGAAAAATTCAGATCAGATCAGATCAGAACTTAAAAAATTCAGATCAGAAACATTCAGATCAGGCGAAGAGAACAGCTTCTGAGGAAGTGAAGAGTTTACTAAAAAAATTAAATTTTTATGACTCCACTATAGAGTCATATAGCATATGTGACACCATCACAATCATTCACTCATGAAGTAGGGTCCTCCACTATAAATCTACTATAGAATTGAATGGTTGTGATAATGTCACATGTGCTATATGACTCCATAGCAGAGTCATATAGGGTTCCATAAAATTTTTGGAACATTCGGATATATTCTACATGAAATATTTAAAACAAGAGAATATTTACAATAAAAAAGAAACAAGAGAATATTTAGAGAATCTTGATTCCTGATTAGGGAATCGGATCCTCGGCCGCACGGCAGAATACCTTGCGCGCAAGGATCCGTCCGATGGAGAAGAGAAGGCCTCGGGATCTATGCGTTGAAATCTCCGACCATCCACTTTTTGATCGGGTGGTTCCCGAAAGCCAGGCACGGTGCCTTGCTTTGAAGTATTGCAGAGGCTCCGGATCTCCTGATTAGGGTTGATCGTTAAAAAATGAGGTCATTCGCACCATAAATAAAAAGTATGCAAAGTATTTTAACACCACCCCACATAAAATATTTGAATTTCAGTATTTGAACTTAATGTAGTGTGATACGTTTGAAATATAACATTTTAAAATGAGCATAAAGCGTATCAAATGAGCGTACATAGCTTACAGAATGAGTATCAAAAAATTCAAAAGCTCATTTGTGTATACTCATTCATTTGGTGTGTTATACTCATTTGAGTTTTAAGGGAAACAAAACTCATTTGTAATGTGCTCAATATTCATTTATGTATATTCATTCTTTTTAGGCGTATACTCATTAGAATTTATATAAAACTCATTTGAGATCAATAGCAGCAAGGATTCCTCATCAACGAAATAGACTCCCCCTGTCTCCGAAAATCACTTGCTCAAACAACAAAACTGCATAAGAAAAAGAGAAAAAAAAAAGAGTGGGAAAGTGGAGAGAGGAATGAGAGGTAACTATGCCGGCGGAGCCCCGCGTTTGCAATGGAGGAGAAGGGGGCAAGTGGTGAGCGCTAGCGACGAGCAACGAGCCAAAAGAGAAGGGGACGAGTGGTGAGCGGTGGCGACGAGCAATGTGTCTTGTGCAAAGCCAAATCGAAGAAGCAAAGTGAGATCGATCGAAGACGCGCGCAAACAAGGGAAGAAAAACCTGGTTGTACCGTGTACACGATACAACTGACAGTACGATATATTTTGTCCCAAAAATCAGTGGTAATTATGTAATCAGTGGTGATTACTTCAATAAATTTGAATTTTCTTGAACGCCAATGATTTTAATTTAGATATTTTTCACCACTAGAATCAATGATTCATAATTTCATACTGCTAGTAATCTCATACTAGTCTTTGTCGCACATTTCCGTTTACGGAACTTGAGAGGTTATCATCACGGAATTCACGATGTCCACCCTCAAGTTTGATTTTTCTTCTACTTTATTACTTACTCCCTCCCACCAACAATGGTACAAGAGAGATTGACACGCAAACTAATAAAAAATCGTTTATGTGGTTCATATTGAATTGATAAAGTAAGAATGATTTAGATCCACGCAAAACTTGCCAAATTTTATATGGAACAATCTTAGAGGGATGGACCGAAATAGTAAAACGGGACAATCTTAGCGGGATGGACCGAAATGGTAAAACGGGACAATCTTAGCGGGACTACGGGACGGATGTAGCACTATATTAGTTGAGCTAAATAAAGGATTTGAAAGACAACACATCTAAATAAAGGATTTGGAAGACAACACTTATGAGGTGTTTACTTCACTGCTAAAATCACAATTGAGTTAGTAAGACATGTGAAGTAAATATGTACAGGGATGAATCTAAGGGGGGCGCGGGGGGCTGGCTAGCCCTGGAAAGCTAAAAATAAACTAATAGATATCAATAAACTAATATATCTAACATCTAACATATTAACATCCAATATAACAATATAATTATGAATGAGGGTTGGTACCCCTGAATTGTGTCAACACACTTGGTGCATAAGATGTTGTACATTATTATTAGAAGATGAAACTCTATTTTTTCCATGGGCTGTTTTACCCTTACGATCCGTGAGATTTTAACTTCCATTATAGAGAGTAGTTTTCTCTTTCTATATAACCCAATGCGCGCAGCGGACTAGCGGAGTAGTTTTCTTTATCATACGGAGTAGTTTTGTTTATCTATGAGGCCGTTTGGCAATCATGTTTTTCGGCTTATCAGCCAATTTTTTCACCAAACACATAATTTTTGCTTTCGCGCGCTGAGTTGTGTAATAACCAGAAAAAGTAAGGTTGAAGTTACTTTTATGACTGTATTGGCTGAAGTTATTGTAGATGACCATTTTAGCTATTTTTACATATAATTTTTTCTTTATTTTATTGTATCGTGTACTAATCTATCAGTAGCGATGTACTCCCCCCGTCCCCTTGTAAATGTCCTGTTTTACCATATTGGGATGTCCCTATTTAATTTTCACATACCTTATATGGTAAAGTTTGTGTGGCTCAAAATCATTTTTACTTTATTCTTACTTTATCAATTAATATCAACCACACAAACCCACTTTTCTTAAAACTCGTGTCGCCCTCTTCCGGGACATTTAAAAGGGGACAGAGGAAGTACTTCTCATTCACTTTATAATTTGTAATCTTTTACGATTTCATACTTATTATTTTTTCTTAACATACTCAGATTTCATTTAATTTTATGCATTATTATAAATATTCTTGTACTTTCTAAATATATAAATTATATAGTTTGGAAAAAATATATTCTTACAACTGCAGATTATATGTTCAACATACGAAATGTTTCACAGGTGAAACATTTTCCTATCTAAGGTCGATGTTATATAGCTAAGTATGTGGCTTAAATGTAATCTTTTATTACTTCAAACACATATG